AAGTGGTGCGTGTTGAAGTCGTGCTTGTTCAAGTCGTGCATGTAGAAGTCGTGCTTGTGCAAGTCGTGCTACTGGGTCCAGGAATTCCAGAGCCTCCGTCCATTCCTTGGCAATCATTCGAAATATGATATTATATGACAAATCAATAGGGTACTGACACAAAAAATTGATCCGCCAGTTTATTCGGTGTGAATGTGAAACAATACTCGCGAAATTTTGCTGTCAATTCTTGGTCTGCAACCACATGACCAGGAATCCCCTGAGAAATAAAGATCAAAGCTATCGCCGCCATGATGGATGAATGAACAAGAGAAACTAATGAGGAATGCTTTGTGATTTTCATCCAACATGGCGGTGATGACGTAACTTGCACGCTAAGAATTGCCTTCTTCACAGTTTTAAAATGAAATCCGTGCAAATCAAAAGAGCTTTGCTCCCCTGTCACTGCACGCCCCTGAACGACCCTGACTGTCTGTTTTAACAATTTAACTTCCGAATGAAAAAGCACTTCTTTCGAGGTCTTCCTAGTGTTTATATTAAGTCATTGTCTTACGTACCACCGTTACAGAGCCCGCATGTTCTCTTGCAAAGCTTTCTTGTGGCGAAGCTTACATCGTGTCCTGGTCGGCACCAGCCTTTGAGAGCCCAAAATTCGCAGTTTTGTATTTTACGTTCCCTATTTGTACAAGAATCTGTGGATAGCGACGTTAAATTAGCGTACGTGTGRTATATATGGTCGTGGCCCATTAAGGCCAAATAATACGTTGTACTTTCACATGCATGATTTGAGGTGGATTCGACTCATAACTTTCTCTTCGTTCAAGCAATTGACTTGAAAGTTGAAAGGAATTTCTTAAAGCTTGTCTTGATTGTGTCTTGTATTTATTTAAATGAATACTAAAATTTTTATCAGAATAAAACAGAAAAAAWTTCTGAAAAATGGAGTTTTTTTGCGAAAACAGTGTGTTAATTAGCATGTGAATTACTAATTACTTGCACAAATTACAGTCCGAAGATATTTTAGTATCATTAGTTKAAGTAAAGGATTGTTTAAGAGGTTGTTCAACTTTCAATTCAATTTCTTGAAAGAATTAAGCCAAAGGTGTCGAACATCAAATAAACCATTTGGCAATTTGCAGATCGAGGAGGATCCACCTTAATACAATTTACGTTCCAAGTTCAAATACATGTGAAATACAACGTATATAACTCACTTAGATTCTATTTACACATTACTGTATTTTACGACTTCAGTCTAACATTCGTCAAATATTCCACTATTCTGAGGTTGTTTATGATGCATAATGCAAATTATAATGCATGCTTTATGTAATATATACAATATGAGCGGGCGATCTGTATGAGGATTTAAAACAGCGAGCTGAAATCGAGCTGTTTTAAACCTCGTACAGATCGCGCGCGAATATTGTATATTACACTTATGAAACGTTGAGATAAACTAGCTCAGGTTTTAAAGAAACTTTTGAAAAAAAATCAATCTGACCGAGAAAATCAGAGTTAAAGATAATATAYCTAGCACACTAACTGCATATGAATCAACATGAAGAATTCTAGATTATACTCGATAGGAAATTATATATGCATTTATGTGAAATACACCAAMCAAGGATTAATATATTTAAAAATAGTCTTCTAAAAAGGCAAAACCCCGACTCGCAATAATGGRTCAGGAAGGGCCGGACAGTTGACGCATTATAGCCAGGAATTTAACACAATTTTTTTTTACAGCATCAATCCCCATGTTGCGTGAGAAGTTACGTCTGAATCTGAAATACGTCCTGTCCAACCACCCTTATTATAATTTCCCGGTGCCGTTGTTTCAGTTGAACTATGCATAAACATAAAAGATAATTATTGATTGATTTTGTAAACCTGAGATCTACAGAAGCTTACAGATGAAATCGTAATAATGTATGCGAGCAMGTAACCAATTTCGTGTTTTCATTTATGCGCTATAGCTTTCATCTTCGTCCCTGCTACAATTATCGAGAACGTGGTCGGCCTCGTTTATTCATTCTTTTGATATTCAGTATTCAGATCCTATACAGCCTTTTGCAAAAATTATGAGAATTGTTGGAATATCTAAATATCATAATATCCATATCCATATATTGTCCGGAACACACGGGTTTGCTAGAATAATTCATTGTTGACATCGAGAAAATGTTCAGAACTACGGATAAGTCCGTTGCCAGAAAAAAACTAAACAACAAAGACAAGGGACTAAGGGCATCGCGCGGGACCATGCACTTGATATCATGATATTTATATATTTCAGCAATTCTCATAATTTTTGCAAAAGGCTGTAACAATATATATTATATACATACACCTACTTGCGAAAACGTTGTCATAAAAAAATAGGACATTTGTATTTTAGTAAAAAGAAATAAATTAAAAAGACAAAAAAAGATTACTGAGGCTGAACGCTTTCTTTTGTTTTGTTTTAATTTATTCCTTTTTGCTAAATTCGAATGTTCTATTTTCTATGACAACGTTTCTGCAAGTAGGTGTATATACTGTAACAATATATATATATATATAAGTTCTAAATTTGCAAATAAGAGCAGCACAAAGCAAGACCTCGTATTTGGTCAGTTTTCACAGAGATATACAGCAACGGTGCGACAACTTACCATCTTGTTCAACATCAAGGTCTTGAAATCCATGAACCGCAAGGCACGAAAGCAGAGTTAAGAGAAACACCTTGACAAGAACCATGTTAGAAACTTTCTTTTCGCCTCAGTCTGTATCTTCACAAACGAGCTAGTAGAGGTAATGGTTGTGAATGAAATCATTAATGTCGAGAACGATATTTAGTGCTGTATGATGATGAAATTCAGCTTGGTGATTGGCTGCTTGAGCCCCTAATAGATGCATACTTAGAAATACTTGGTCATATACTTAACAAAGAATACAAAACGATTAAATGGCAACTCAAGGAATCTACAGCTGAGAATGTCCATCTCTTTTGAACATATTTCATGCTAAGGAATGAAGGGGAAGTCGTTCTTTTTGAAATAAAACTCTCGGGATCTTAATGACCAGAATACATCACTGATTATACAATAGAAACAAGGACGTCTTTAGCATTCTGACTAAAAAAAAACAAGACAATCCAGTTAAAGAATAGCAACCAAAATATGGCTTCTTGCTGCACTCACCTCTGTGCTGGAGAATTGTTTTCTTACTAAAAAATAGTTTTCCTTCAACTAACTAAGTTGTAACTCCTTGMTGGTGCTTATTCTTGTCAGTCAATTTATCTGAATAACAACGAAATTGAAAGTGRAATGTGCGAAAAAACTAAACTGTGCATGGTCTATTCAATTTCACAACAYTAAGCTGTCAATAGGACAATAGTCAGACTCGTGATCGTATTTGTTATTAAAAAAAATGATTGTTTTATGTTGAGGAGGCACCGCGGAGCATAATTTTTTTTATTTACTTTTTTTTTGGGTGGGGTGGGGTGGATAAATCGGAACGGGACAACTTTCGAGAAGCGACACATGAATTGCACGAATGTTTTCAAAATGTCTGCAAAAAAAAATTGCGGGGTGGCTGTTGATCTCAATAGACTCATCCAAATGTCAATCATGTCTGCTTTGAATAATGAATTGTTGAATACGCTTGATGTAAATATGATGTAGGTGTCCAAAATTCTGTAAATTTGATGTAAATGATTTCCATTAAATTTACAGAATTTTGGACACTTTACATCATATTCACATCACATTTAAAACCTTTAAAGTGCGCGATTTTTYTAGTGTTTTATAGTAAACACGATCACTTCAAATACATTTCAGCTCTTTATGCTTTTTCAGCTCTTTCAGTTTCAGCTTTTTAACTTGAGCCCTTTCCGAGTAGGAAGATATGAAAGAGGAGAACGATCGCAGAAGGCATTGATTSAGAGGAAACCATTTCAATTCTAGGGGGAAGTTGTATAGTAGACTCTTTAGTTAATGGTGATTTCATGTATATTGTGCCGTTTTACAAGAAAAAAGAAGCAAACAATTATTTTAGTTATGCCAAGCATTTCCCGAGAACTCATGATTATCATGATATGACCCGTATTTCGGCCCTACGCGCGCTCTTAAAAAACCTTTGGGAAATGGTCACATAGAGCGGATTTCGTATGACTGTGCAAAAAAAACACGGTACGTTCGTGCTGTGTGCGTACCGTGCCGTAGCCGTGATGCATTGGAAAATCTTTACTTTCATTTGAAATCCTAGAAGGCGAGGTTCCGTGACCGTGCCGTGTTGTGTCCGTGTTGTGATCCTTGCTTTTGCACAGTCATACGAAATCCGCTCTAATGGGGGCCGTACGCCTTTTCGCCACAGGGTTGTAGAAACCCGTATCTTGCCGGCTTGAAGTTCCGCGCGCTTTCATTTATTTATTTTACATTAAAAACGCTGTCATACGATAAAATGCTTATTAACTGAGTTAGGTCGGGTCGTACGGGAAAATATTTGGCTCTCGGTCATTTGTACGGACTTCGCTGCACTCCCACTCAGTCAATARGTACATAATATGTACAATTCATTAATTTAGCAATTAAGCGGATATGCTACATCAGGCAATTAAAGCTACTCCGGTCAAACTACACTAGCATGCAGTTAAACGACACCGGGAAGCTAAACCAGGTAATCTATGGGGTAAACTATATATACCGGGTAATCTATGGGGTAAACTATATATACCGGGTAATCTATGGGGTAAACTATA